CATGACAGAGAATGTAGAGCCGGGGAGCTTACGAGTAGTCTTCAAATTTCAATATGGCATGCCATAGTTTCTGAAGTCTGCGCGATTCCAGAGAAAGCAATGGATTTGGGATCATCTTAACATGAATAGTAATACAGTATAATCCATTTATATCAGCGAATGCTCTACACCGCAGTGTTCTCTACTGTACTGTATATACTCTACTCCATACTCGTATTATACACATTTGGCTGATTCAGAGTTGCAATTTGCGCAACTCTAAAGACTTTGACGAATATAATAATATGGCTTGACGTGCGGTATTGATAGTTTATGGTTTAGGGTTAAGGTTACACTACGCTGTACAGTACCGTAGGCTCCAGGTGTTTTCATAGTAAACTATCCAATATTGCGGTGTTCTACAGTACTGTACTGTACTGACAGTATACTGTACACTGTACACTGTACAGTAGTATGATATGACGTTACCTCAGTACTAATTGTAGACTCCTACAGTACAGTACAATAGCCATAGCTATTCTGTCAGCAGCAAGACGGGTTGTGCACAGTAAGAAAACAGAATTATTTGACTTGGGCTATTCATTTTTTGTATCTTTAACTTAAACGGTTACAATTGGCCAATTACAGTATTAATGATAGTATGATAATGCTGAATGATAATATAATAATCGCCACCATTATTATTATTATTATTATTATTATTATTATTATTAATTATTATTATTGCTTCTAGTGTAGTAGAGTACAGTACTGTACAGTGTACAGTACAGCAGTACTGTAGAAATCGTAATGGCAGTACAGTACCAGTACTGTAGTTCGTTGTGTGACTATACTGTACTGTACAGTACAGTAGTGTACTGTACTGTACGGTACAGTACTGTATACTGTACAGTTCAGGTATGATTACGGTTAAAATATTATTATTTATTTACTATGACTACAGTACAGTACTGTAGGTTTTGTTACCTTTGATAAATCCATATGTTGTGTACTTCCTTCTGTACCTCTGTACAGTATCAATAAGTTCGTTGTGAGTAATACTAAACCGAACCTCTGACACCCCCCTACAGTAAGTACTGTATACATAAGGCTTGTTTTCAGTTTTTCACTTCTCGTGTTATTTTATCTCCCATTTTTGTCTTGAAAAAATTCTGTACTACCTCTGTTGTGTAGCACCATGCACTACTACATACTGTACTGCTAACTGTACAGATACTGTACAGTACTGTACTTACAAAATTCGACTGGTCTATTGTAAAGAAGATTCTGTACCGTACTGTACCGTACAGTACTGTACTGTATAGTACAGAAGTATAGTACTGTATTCAATAAGTGCAGTACTATACTGTACGTACAGTACTGTACTCTATTGTACTGTACTGTACTGTAAATAAATAAATAAATACCTGTTATCCTATTAAT